TGAAACAATCTGGCATCATATTAAAAACAGCATCCTGCAATCCTCCGAAGAATCCTTAGGGTTCTCCCTCAAGAAGAACAAGGATTGGTTTGACGAAAACAACCAAGAAATCCAAGACTTGTTGAGGAAGAAGAGAACCGCCCACCAAGCACACCTTGCACTGCCATCCTGTCACGCAAGAAAAACAGCCTTTCGTCTTGCGTGCAGCAAACTCCAACAGAAACTCCGTGACATCCAGAACAAATGGTGGATTGATCTAGCTGAAAAAACTCAATTATGTGCAGACACAGGTGATCACAGAGGTTTCTATGAGGCCTTGAAAACAGCATACGGGCCTACATACCAGGTACAAAGCCCTCTACTCAGCGCTGATGGTCAAACACTTCTGACAGATAAAACCTCCATTCTGAATCGATGGTCTGAACACTTTCAGACTCTATTCAGTACCAACCGCACAGTCCAAGACTCAGCAATTCAGTCCATCACACAACAACCAGTAAAATATGAATTGGATACTGCCCCCACTTTAGGAGAAACCCTCAAGGCCATACAGCAGGTGAAAATCGGCAAGGCAGCTGGGATTGATGGAATTCCACCTGAAATCTGGAAACATGGGGGCCCTGCACTCCACACCAAATTCCATGAGTTCGTGGTGCGCTGTTGGGAACTCGGCGAACTACCATCTGACCTTCGTGATGCAGTCATCATCACCTTGTATAAGAAGAAAGGAATTAAATCTGACTGCTCAAACTATCGTGGTATTACTCTGCTCTCCATTGCTGGCAAAATCCTGGCAAGAATACTCTTGAACAGACTAATACCCACTATAGCAGAAGGTATCCTTCCTGAAAGTCAGTGTGGTTTCAGAGCCAACAGGAGCACCACAGACATGGTATTTGTCCTCAGACAACTGCAAGAGAAGTGTAGGGAACAGAACAAAGGTCTCTATGTAACCTTTGTCGACCTCACCAAGGCTTTTGACACTGTGAGCAGAAAAGGTCTGTGGCAGATTTTGGAACGTTTAGGTTGTCCCCCTAAATTCCTCAAAATGATTATCTCACTCCATGAGGATCAGCATGGCCAAGTCAGATATGGCAATGCACTTTCTGAGCCCTTTTTAATTAAGAATGGTGTGAAACAAGGCTGCGTTCTCGCTCCTACCCTATTCACCGTCTTCTTTAGCATGATGCTCCAAAGGGCCACAGCAGACCTCAATGATCAGGACGGTATCTACATTCGATACCGTACTGATGGAAGTCTATTCAATCTAAGGCGACTGAAGGCCCACACCAAGACCTTAAACCATCTTGTCCGGGAGCTGCTTTATGCTGATGACGCCGCCCTTGTTGCCCACACAGAAGCAGCTCTGCAGCGTTTAACATCCTGCTTTGCAGATGCTGCTGAGCTCTTTGGTCTGGAGGTCAGCTTAAAGAAGACAGAGGTCCTCCATCAGCCTGCACCTCAGGATGTCCCCCATCATCCCCACATCACCATTGGTCAATCAGAGCTCAAATCAGTCCAACAGTTTAATTACCTCGGTAGCCTCATCTCCTCAGATGGTAAGATTGACGGAGAGATAGACAACAGATTAGCAAAGGCATATAGTGCTTTTGGAAAACTCCATAAAAGAGTATGGCGTAATAAACACTTGAAGAAAAGCACCAAGATCAGTGTTTACAAAGCCATAGTGTTGTCTACTCTCTTATATGGATCTGAATCATGGGTCATCTACCGCCACCACCTGCGTCTCTTAGAACGCTTCCATCAACGCTGCCTCCGTACAATTCTAAACATCCACTGGTCAGACTATGTGACCAATACATCTGTTCTAGAGCAAGCAGCTATCACAAGTATCGAGGCCATGCTGATGAGAACACAGCTGCGTTGGGCAGGTCATGTCTCCAGGATGAAGGACCACCGCCTCCCTAAGATCTTGCTTTACGGTGAACTTGCCACTGGCTGCCGCATGAGAGGAGCCCCGAAGAAAAGATACAAGGACTCCCTGAAACAACATCTCAGCCTTGGCCATATTGATCACCATAACTGGTCTACTCTGGCCTCAAATCGGGAGGCCTGGAGACACACCATCTATAACGCAGCTGTCTCCTTTGAGAACACACGCAGGATCACCCTTGAGGAGAAAAGGCAACGCAGAAAGAACCGTGTATTGCAGAATACACCATCTAAGGAGTCTTTCTGCTGTGCCTTTTGCAATCGGATTTGTCTGTCACGTATTGGCCTCATAAGCCACCAGCGTGCCTGTAACAAATGTGGATAGAGCCTTCCCAAATCTTCGTTCGCGAAGCCTAGCCATGATATGTAAGAAAAGAGGATTTTCTTTAGATCAGCATCCCTATGCTTTTGTGGAATTGTGCAAATGGGTTTAATTGCACACACAAATATTATGAATGGCTTCTGAAAGATCAGTTCAGGAAATGTCAGAATGAATGTTACCTCTTCCAAAAGAGACACATCTAGCCTTGATGTGAAGGGCTCCCATCTCACAGTGGATGAAATTAGGAGTTAAGCCTTTGTGTGGTGTTGTACATGAAACAATGTCCCTCCTCCTCCTTGTACGCCATGACATCCTACCATGTGGCAGGACCAGCATGATGGTCTGGGTGGAAGGAAGATCCAGGCTGAGCAATGTGTCATTTAGTGGATTCACTGTCAGCCCACTTTGAAGAAGGACAGTACTTTGAAGCAGATCTCCTAGTTGTCAAAATTTATCGTGCATTTCTTTATGTCATAGAGTGTTTGCAGTTTGGCTGAGCTGGATTGCTTAGAATAAACTAAACCAGAAGATCCACTGTGAGTATGTACCAAATATGCCCCAATCCCTAATAATGAGGACTGAAACCACTAATTGCCCTCAGCACCATGAAGGTCTCCAGCATGAATAGAACACTAAAAGGCTCTTGTACATTTGGGAGCTTGTGCAGCACTTGGAAGGTACTTCCCACGCTACATAAGGGTCCATATGGCAAGTGTGCCTTGGTGCTTGCTGCTGTTGACCACCTTGAAATTTACTCCTTTTTTTTTTCTGGGACGACACCTGCCTCAATACTTTGTGTTGCAATCTGTCTTTGCTGAACCTAGTTCTGAACAGTACCTTGGTCTTTTATACAGCATCTCTTTTTTTTCCATCTAGTTATTTTTTCGGCCCACTCTCTGCTGTCATCCCAGGTGGAAATGTCTTGCTGCTTCAGACTCCCAGAAGATCCAACAAGGTACATTCTGAGGCCCCAGGAATATGATCATGTTTATTATTGTACTGTGAGAAACCTGCAAACTTTTCTGGTGGCAGAATAACCCAGCGGCAGAACAAAGATCTTGCTAACCTCAGCACAGCCTCTGGTGCAAGGGGGCAGGCAGTCAGTGGTGTACAGAGTGCTGCAAAATGAAGTTCTCTTGATAACAATAACTATGCTTTCAGGGAGACACAGTGGGTGTACCCGTGTCAAAGAGATCTTAACAGCTTTTCAGGTGGGACCACACCTCTGGGGCTGACATCCACTTGGATGCTTCCGCCTTGTGTCCTTGGGATCTTAGTGCAGTGGTTCTGGAGGAGAACTCAGCCTCTAATGTTACTGCAGGGAAAGCCAAATCCCATACATGCCTCCTGTGTCAACACTGAGGGATATTTCTTTTACCTGCCATCTGCAGTGGCCAGTCCCCTGTGTCAGATTTAGTGTTTTCATTGTAGGTAAGAACATGTCTGCACAGCAACACTAAGGATCCCTCCTCCTCCCCTTGAAAATAAGAACAAGTGCAGGCTGGGTTTATTTCTGAAATCAAGCCAAGGGTTTTCTTGTTTTGCTGTTATATTAGAAAACTTCAAAGTCTTCTGTCACTGTTAATATATTACCCTGAATTTCAACTTAATTCTAAAGAAGGCAAACCATAAGATCAGTGCCAACCTAAATGTTAGTACATAAACTATGTGTGTATTTTATGTGACTAGCCATAATTAAGACTTGGCTTGTTTTCTTCTTCTTTCTTGGTCTGTGTGATAATGAAAAAACAATTCTGATGAATTACAGAATCACAGAATCAATGAGGTTGGGAAAGACCTCTGAGATCATCGAGTCCAACCTTTGACCCAACACCACCTTGTTAACTAGACCATGGCACTAAGTGCCACATCCAGCCTTTCCTTAAACATCTCCAGGGACAGTGACTCCACCGCCTTCCTGTGCAACCCATTCCAATGCCATTAATTATTTATCAAGCTTGCTTGTACTGGTAAAGCAGAATAAACCCCAGGTAATTTAAAACTATTTTAAAAATTGAAATTAAACATATTTTCTTCTGAAAATACATCTTAAAAAAACACCTTTAAAATAGGAGTATATACTAAGCCCTGAAATTAGTAAAAATTAATTTTAGTTACTTTCTAGTTATTTTTATTTCTTAAAAGTTTATTATATTGTTGTCTATATTTGGTAGTCAAACCACTGCAGTCACTAAGTAAGTGTTTGAAACCGTAGGTTGCTGAGGCTAGAATACAGGTTTTGGTTCTTTCTGCAGACACAAAATAAATGCTGCCTTATTCTGACATTTTCAAATAGTTCAGTTCAATAATTAAACTCCAAGCTGAGAAACTGACCTCTGCTGAAAGAGCAAAAAAATTGGTTTTCTCTCAAACTGTTGATAGGATGATCAGATCTACTAATTAAACACTTGGAGACAACAGGAATAAGAGACAATCAGATTAGTTTGCTAATTTTAGGTTAGCAAAAACTTCCTTATCAATGAGAAAATTTTGTAAAGAAAATGTGAGTTGACATTTTTCTTCAGGTATACAGCAGACTGAAGATTTTTACTTATCATAAAATAACTTCAAATGCTGTGTTATGCATTTGGAATTAAACAGAATTTTTAATCCTAATTCAGTTTGACAGAAGTTACACAGAAGCAGACATTTAATAAACAAGACAGGTGCTATTCATAGGAGCCTGACTCTAATACCCTGAAGAGTCCAAATAATAGTACATTACTCAAATAAGGTCTTCATTTATTTTTGTCAGTAAAGAAGAAATAATAATGCATGCCACCAATGAAAATGAACTAAGTGAAGAATACAATTGCAAAACAAAAGCAATTATTATTTAAGGTTTTCTACATGGTAATTCAGATTATCAAATGCTGTGGCAATCAGCATAGCTACAAATTGTAATTCAAAGGCAGCATCATGACTTTCTTTACTCTTCATACAATTTCAGTATTCAAAGATAGAAATTTCTGTGATAAGGTGGGAAATAGAAGAAAAATTCAGTGGAAGGAGCCTGACAATTATGTTTTCAGTAGTTCCTCAGTGGCAAAAGGCTTACTCAGCAGTTCAAGGAGAATTGAAATGTTCTTCCATATATTGAAATGCTGCCTTACTCTGCAGGAAATCCCTTCCACTGCAGCGTCGTGTTCACTTATATGGTGGTTGGCCAGACTGAGACTAGGCACGGTCCCTTGCTTTTTCACTTTCTTCCTTCTTACTCCTGGTAACACCTTCTCTGTATTTTTAACTATAAACAGATAAAAAGAAACTGAGCACCATAAGGAAATTGAGCCAACAAAAGCAGTTTACCTTTGGATATGAGCTGAATGGAGAAACAACAACAAAAGCCCTCAGAAGGCCATAAATTTGGACTGAAAATGCTGAACTATATTTTTAATTGTAATACTTCTAAATTCTGTGCTGTTACTTCAGCTTGTTTCTCAATGGACTTAAATGGTTTGAGATGAATAAAATATTGATTGGTGGGTTTGGATGACAGATGCTTCTAAATCTGAACACGCATAACTAATATGAAATTCAAATTCTGATCAAACAAAAAAATTAATATGAATTTCATATTTTCTTGCTTTTAATAAGCACAGATGTCTTGCCAGTGGCTCAAGCTCAGTCAAGCATCACTGCATCACTTTTTGCGGGCTCAGACGTAAAACCATAGAGTTCTTTCCGTGTATGTGCCTTGCATGCAGAACCAAACTGATTGAGATTCAGGCATAACTGATGTTGACTGTTTTGAATGGCAGTCGTGGTCCTCAGGTAAAAATCCTGATACACTTTGCTTTTCCAGTACAATATGCATTTCGTAATTTAGGACAAGAAGGGTCCTGCCTCATCAATGAATCCTGTCCTCTGGTCTTGCAAGCAGTTTGATCATATAATCACCTTAACAGACCGATGCAGCTCTGGGCCTCTTAGTGCTTGATAATGGGTAAAAACAGATGAAGTCACTGATGCTTCTTTTATCTTCTGCCAGGCTGCTGAAGATAACTAATGCCCTAACCTAAATGAACCATCAGTTTAGTGAACAATGGTGTATATACTTCAGAAAGAATTGCCATGTATGTAAAAATATTGTGTGTCTAGTCTATTATCCCCAGTCTGACACTGGCCTGTTCCAGAGTGAGATTTGAGAAACTCTTTTCTGAAACATCACACAGTGACCTTCCCGTGGGAGAGGCATTTTTGTAATGGCTGTCAGTGAGAAATGCACACAGGTTTATTTTTTTTTTTTTACTCCTGCTTATATAAATCATGTGTTCATCTGTTTATATAAACATTTAAGTTTTGCTTTTAACGATGGCAGTGAATTTCAGAGGTTAACTGACAATTTTTATATTTTAAATATTTCTGTCTTTCACCTTCACTATTTCACTGAGTGAAGGTATACCAGATCTTTATGTACTGTGGCTATACTGCTGATTATTTTATATATGTCCATCATATGTCTTCTTGTTGACATCTTGCTGAAGCACTTATTTTCAAAGATAATGGAGGAAACTAAGATGCATAAACTAAGGAAATTAAGATCCATAACTAAATGCACTGTTTCAGCAGAAGACATATTGATGACTTGAATAAGAAGGCATGCTAAATTTTTTTCTTTTCTGTATTAGTCCATTACAGAAAATAAGTCTGAGGATCTCAAGAAATCTTTCTACTCTTTCTCCCGTAATCCTAACACATTGTCTGCCTCTTTATTTGCAGTTGTGTGTTGATCAGAAGCTTTTGTATTCAATCTGTTTACAGTAGTGCTCCTGTCTCTTTCCTGAAAGGTTCTAATTAGTTTAGAATTTATCCATGTCTAAGTAATTCAGACAGGATTAATGTATAGCAAACTGTGTCTGGATTAAAATCCTCATGTATTGGATTGCTGAGTGGACTGGTGGAAGCATGCAGTGGCTTTCAGTTCTAAGGCAGTTTGTGGTGATAACATCTTGGCACTTCTTTCATAATTGGTATGTTTTTAGGAAGTCTTCACCAAGAGGCCAAGGCTGTCATGAAGTAGAGCCCTGTGCAGGTGTCTCTGAGGGCAGGGCCAGAGTGAGAAAGCTGACACTGGTGTTCCCTCTACATTATTGATTCTAAGAAAGCCCAGGGGAAGGGCAGGGAAGGGTTTTTTTTTGTCAGCCAGGGACTTAAATGATATTTCTGTTCTCCCCAAAGGGATGTCCTGAGTGTCTTTTCATAGAAATCATAGAATCCTAGAATGGTTTGAGTTGGAAGGGACAGTAAAGGTCATTTTGTTTCAACCCCCCTGCCATGAGCAGGGACACCTTCCACTAGACCAGGTTGCTCAAAGCCCTATCCAACTTGGCCTTGAACACTTCCAGGGATGGTGCATCCACAGTTTTTCTGGGCAACCTGTTCCAGTGTTCTCACCATCCTCACAGTAAAGAATTTTTTCCTAATATCTAGTCTAAACCTTCTATTTTTCAGCTTAAGGCCATTTCCCCTTGTCCTATCACTACATGCCCTTATCAAAGGTCCCTCTCTGGCTCTCTTGTAGGCCCTTTAGGTACTGGAAAGTGCTGTGAGCTCTCCTCAGAACCTTCTCTTGTTCAGACTGAACAGCCCTACCTCTCTCAGCCTGTCCTCATAGGAGAGGTGCTCCAGCCCTCTGAGCATCTTCACTGCTCTCCTCTGGACTTGCTCCAACAGGTCAGTGCTCCTTGGGTCAATGAGCCTGACAACTCTGATATATCATTCCCTTAACAACCTGAGCAAAGCCAGCTCAAAGATGTGCTGGTTTCTGAGGCCATGGCCAAAGGATCCAGCAGCGATAATGTATCCTGATTGGGAAACACCTATGCCTGAGAGTCACAGCTTCATTAGCTGCAATTAGCAGGAATAAGCAAGAACCTGAAATATGTCCAAGAGTGCAGAATGAGGAAAATCTGAAGAAAATTATATCCCTTTTCCTCAAAACCCTTCAAATGGACAATAAATGTCTGTCTGTACAGGAGCAATACAGTGTACAGCCTATTACCTGGTTGAGTCCTGATGTGCATATAGATATGAAAATCTCATTTCATGGCAAGAATGTACACAGTGTTTTCAAAGAGTGAAACTGAACAATACACTGGATACACAAATGAACAATATATGAGTAGTTACCTGTCATTTAGATTGATATAGATTGTAGACATGTAGATTGATATATCTAGTATATGTATATATGATATGGGAATAAAATTAAAAAAATATTTTTGCCTAGTAGCATACATCTGACATCTTATAAATTGCACACATTTTATCTAGACAGCTCTGTATAGGATGGAAAAAAAGAATTTATTGCTTCCAGAAGTTTCAAGTGCACAGCAATAAAACAATCTGAGGGTTTATTACATACTTGCTGTGATTACAGAAGGATCTTCACCTAATGCATGAGTCAGCCTGTCCTGATAAGTCTTACCAGAGATCATCAATTATTACTTAAAAAATCAGCATTTATCCCCAGAGTTCCCTCCTTTAGGCAGTCAGTCCACACAAGACTCATCCTAGACATGCAACATTAGAACGACTCTGTCTTGGTACTGCAGTTGTTCAGGACTCTGCCACTCATCACCACTATTAATGTCTGTCTTACTGGGAGGACCTGGAAAGGACCAGCTCTTTTCTCTGCTTAATGCTGCATGAGGCTGGTAGTCAAGTGTTGTCTGGCTTCTACACTCTAAAGTTGCCAAAAGAGAAGTGGAGAAACATAAAAATATCAAAAACAAATGACCATTGCATGTGTAGAGCACACACATGCATGGATCACCCATTTTTGCTAGTTTGAGTAGAGAAACCAACCATTTAGCTTAGTTACATGTTAGCTCATTTCTTCTAGGCTTCATGGCAGAGGTGAGTAATGAAACAAGGGGTGACCCAGGTGCTGCTGCTCTAACCTGGTGGGAATTTAAATCTCTGGGTCAGATAAACGAATTCTAAAGCCATAAAACACTGATAGTGAAAGAGACCTGCAGAGATTTTAAGTGTCATTCCCTTGTCCCAGTCTTGTGTGGGTTTGGATCTACAGAAAGACCTGGCTATATTGATAATCCTCATACAATCCAGACTGAGAATTGTTCTTTCAGTGCTCTTAACTTCATGTACTCTGTTCACTTTCTGTACTCTGTTCATAATTAATTATTTGCATATTAATTATGCAAAGCACAGGTGCCCAAACTGGTAATTTTTCATGATGCTGAAAGATTGTTTTACTGTACTGAATAAGCAAAATCCAGCTCTCTTTCCTCATTTCTCCTTCCCCTTACATTGTTTCTGTAGCTGGTGTGTTGTCAGCCACCCTCTACAGATTGTTTGTCTTGATTTTCACCAGTTCATCTTTAGATTGGCTCACTGCACAGCAAATGCTGTAGCTACAGTTCCCAGTGAGATATTTTAAAATTCTAATTCAGTCTTGCTCCTGCTCAATATGTCTGCAAACTGTCAAATTGATCATAGCATTCGCATCACTCAGTGTCTTCTGCGTAAGGCCAACACGATCAGCACTTGAGCAGCTTTCATCTTCTCAAACTACTTGTTTCTGCTGATATACATTCTGCACAGAACTCAGAATTTATCATTGTTTTTAAAAGAAGGAAGTAAAATATCAGGAGAAATTTATTTTTATTTCTGTTTTGTTTATTACATCTTCTGTTGTGATTATAAATCACAGAATCTACTACTCCTTATATCAAGGAAGAGGAATTTTAAAATACTGTTCATCTGAAGTTTATAGGAAAAGTTTTTAATGATTTTTCATTTTAAATGCATTTCCAGGGTTGGAGCTTTTTTATTGTTTTGTTTGTTTGTGTTTTTTGTTTTTTCATTTTGTTTTGTGGGATATGAGTAATATATTAATTTCTTCTTTTCCTTATCATGGAGTTTGAGGATCTCAAGGTGTTATGGAGCTATATTTCCACTATTTTTCCTACATGGACCTCCAGCAAAGTTGCTTTTGATTTCAGGAGGTACCATTGCATTGAAAATTGTCCCTCTGATTTTGAAACGGTTAAAAATAATTAGCTTTTATTCAGAGCTTTGAAAGGTCAAGAGAATGCTACGAATAGACCTGAGAAGAATGGCAGTACCAGATGCAGCCCTAAACTGAAAGAAGGGATGCTGCTGGATAACTGCTTCCATGTCATCTGAGTAAAACCATGTGCTCCTCCTGGTGCCCTGCTTTCCTCACACCCAGAGTTCTGGATCTACCTTTGTGAAGTGTAAGGAGAGAGAAGGGAGTGA